TGCCGGGAGCAGAGCGAGTCCTTTGGACCTGAGGTTCCTGTGCGGAGATGCTCCCAGAACAAGGGAAGACTGATGCACCACAAGGACCTTCCTCCAGAGCCGACAGAGAGAGAAAGCCTTCCCCTGGAGCTAACACCCTGAATTTGGACTTGTAGCCTACTAGACTGTGAGAGAATAAATTTCTCTTTGTTAAAGCCATCCACTTGTGGTATTTCTGTTAAGCAGCACTAGATGACTAAGACAGCTCCTAAAACATACACACACATAATAGTGTTATGCACTTCAGTTTGGGCAAGGTTTCTTAACCTTGGCACTATTGACATTTTAGGCTGCATAATTCCTTATTGTGGGACGTTGTCTTGCACACTAGATGTCAAGAGTACCGTCTGCCCCTCAGTTGTGACAACCAAATTTGTCTCTAACCAAAGAAACCAAACCCGTTGCCATGGAGTCGATTCCGGCTACATTGGCAAATGTCCCTTGGGGGAAAAAATCACCCCTCACCTCCCAGTGGTTTGGGGGAAATCTATACTTGCTGTTTTGGATTCAGTTCTACTTATCGTTTAACCAACAGGTAGGTTTTGGGGTTCACACTTGGTCCAGGCCAGTCTGATGAAACTAATTCAGAGTCTATACTCATCCTCCAAAAATCAAGCTGTTGCATTTCTCACTCAAATGTTGACATTAGGAAACTGAAAAGAAAAGCCCTTTTGATTTCTGCTGCTTCCAAAACCCACTGCCCTCAAGTTGATGCCTACTCATAGCAACCCTATAAGACAGGGTAGAAATGCCCCATAAGGTTTCCAAGGAGCAGCCGGTGGATTTGAACTGCCAACCTTTTGGTTAGCAGCTGAGCTTCTAACCACGCACCACCAGGGCTCCTCCGCTGCTTCAGTCACCATCAAAAGGAAAGCCAAGTTTATCTCTATAAGGATAGAGGAAACAAGCCAGGCATTAAGAATGGTGGTAGGGTAGGGTCAAAACCCTCGCTATATTAGTCATGATGTTAAGCCAGTGATTCCGAAACTTTGTTGCACACTGAAACCCCCTGAGGAATTTAAAATGTACTGGTCCCTGACTTCCACTCCTGAACATTCTGATTTAATTGGTAAGTCTCAAAGGCCTAATTCATGCCTCTCTATATGAATAAACTACTCTAGGTTTAAGCACAAGTAACACAGACCACATGTGGTTCACAGAATGAATGTATTCATATACAGTTTAAAAGCCGGCACAAGTGTGAGCAGGAAAGGTTAAGCAGGTTTCTAGCTATGGGAGGGCAGCCCTTTCGGAGGGATGTAGCTTAAAGATCTCGCGTCCTGGTGACCCAGTGGTTAAGTGTTGGGCTGCTAACCAAAATGTTGGCAGTTCGACTCCAGCAGCCGCTCCTGGAAACCCTATGGGGCAGTTCTATCTTGTCCTATAGGCTCGCTATGAGTCGGAATCGACTCTATGGCAACGGGATTTTTTTTTTTTTTAATTAGTTTAGAGAACAGGGAACTACACTCTATTTTAGAAATGCCGCGTGGTATAAGCACAATCACGATCAGGATTTGGGCTCTATCTGCAGCTTTGCCACTAACTTCCTTGGTGACCTTGGATAGGTCATTCTTTTGAGCCCGTTTCCTCTCTGATAAAATCCATGTATATCAGATAATCTTGATCATCCCTTCCAACTATGACACTGTGGCGCGATCGCTGTCGAGGGCTCTGTCCTGCACCAGAGCCCCTATTGATCGCGAAGCCCAGTGGGCAGCGCCGGCCCCTACCTGGCAGTAGAGCCGATAAAGGGGCACAGCGGCGTAGGACGCCCCCAGCATGCCCACGGCGGCCGCGGCCACATACGTGAGGACAGTCTTGTTCCGCCGCCGCCAGTTCTCCTCCTGCGCCCTCGTGAAAGGGTTCGTGCTCTTCGGCCGCCGTGGCGGCTGCAAAGTCAGGTCCCGGGACAGGCTCGGGCGCCCCGACGTCCCAAGCCTCCTCAGCCCCCTTTCAGCACCTCCTGTTCCACTCCACCACGGCCTGAGAAAAGGCTCTACTCTCTCTCCAGCCCTGGTCAGGAACCCTGCTTGACTCCACCGCCAGCCACACAAAACGATATGCCTCCATCGTGCAAGCCAATGCCCTCCCATTGCGTCCGGAAAGAAGCCCCGCCTGTCAGAGAATAGAGATCAGATCTCGCGAAATCTGCCCTTCCTCGCGATATCTGGGTTAAACCCGCCGCTGCCTTTGCTGCCAGCCTCCTCAGGTAGTGGCGCTTGTAGTTGAGCTACGGAGGCCTGGTTGCCAGGTTGCGGGTAAGTTCGCTATTTCCTTCATGACTGTCACTCCTCCTTTGTGTTCCTCCAGTTCTTCTTTAACTTATTCGTGGGGAAACGCTTTCTCTCTTCCCCGTACAAGCTCATCATCACTTGGGATGTGCGCTTGATCTTAAGCTCCACCAGCCTTTGTCTCGACTTAGCGGCCCCCAGCGGCAGCTCTCCCGCGGCCCTTTTACCTGGAGTTTTCTGGCTCAAGGATCACCTCCCCCAGGAAGCCTTCCGATGTTAACCGCAACCCTCTCGGCCACTCAACATCTGCATTTCCTCAGCTCCTGTGCAATCTTCTTGTACTGCCCTGATACCCCTTTACTACTTGTTCAGTGAAAACCACCACTGCTGGAACGGGAGAGACGTTGTAAAACTGAAGTACAGAGGAGAGTGACCAGAATATAAGGGTCACTTAAGGACGGATTGAAGGAAATGAGAGTGTTCATCTAGAAAAAAAACCTTGAGGGATATAATAGGTTTCTCCACTTTTCCCAGCCGACACACCAGGACTTGAGGGGGACAGATGGCATAGCTGATTTCACATAATAGAAGGATGCATCTTTCTAGGAACTATAAAACAGTGGTTAAGAGCTCGGGTTCTGAGGTTAGGCAGGTCTGGATTCATACCAGAGTCCTCACTACTGGTCCCGTGTGGTTAGGGCAGTAACTACATTTGTAAAACGGGAATCATGATTGTGAATGAGAATATTCGTGCAAAGTGATTAAAAGCTATGGCAAGCCACAGCTGCTAACCAAAAATTCGGCAGTTCGAATCCTCCAGCGGCTCCTCGGAAGCCCTATGGGGCAGTTCTACTCATACGGTCACTATAAGTTGGAATCCACTCTACCGCAGTGGGTTTTTTGGTTTGAGACATAGTGAAAACTTAGTGAACGTTAGACTTTCTGATGGCCAGAGCAGGTATAATTATCTCTAGTTTATGGATACGGAAACTGGAGGCCTGAGAAGTTAAGTAACTTTAAGTCATTCAACGTATGTTTATTTATTGCATTCGTACTGCAGGCCAGAAGCTATTAAAGCTGCTGGGGTTACAGCCCAGAACAAATCAGACAAGATTACTTCTGTTACGGAGTGTACATTCAGGGACTCAGTGTACTGAGGGACTCAGCAAATAGTAATCAAGTAACAGATGCATAAATAAGGGAATTTCAGATAACTATCAACGCAAAGAAGACAGTGAAATAGGATGATGTGACGGAGAGTGATGAAGAGGAGGGGTAGTAAAGTCTTTCTGAAGAACTGACATTTGATCCTAGTCCTGAATGATGATAAGGAGCTACCTATGCAATTCCAGGCCATGCAAAGACCCAGAGACAGGAAAGAGTTGGGTATAACTGAAGAACAAAAGAACAAAAAGGAGGCCAGTGTGTTCCTAGCATAGTGAGCAGGGAGGAAAGTAGTAGAAATGAGGTCAGAGCAAGTACACAGGGAAAAATAATACAGAGCCTTTTAGGCCATGACGAGGGGTTTAGATTTTATTCTGTAAGTAATGGAAAGCTATTGGAGTGTTTTAAGCATGCAAGTGACATAATCTGATTTGTATTTTTAAAAAAGATACTAGTTACTTTGTGGAGAATTGGATTAAAGGGGAGCAAGAATGGAAGTAGAACAAGAGGCAGTTGCACTAGTTCAAGTGAGCGATGGTCACTTTGAGTGAGTAATTGATTAACTTGTGCTCACAGGGCTGGAAACTTGTGGAGCCAATAAAGTCGAAGTCTCTTCTGAGTCCTTTCTCTTCTGACACAGTGTCTCTCAAAAGTTTCAAGAATCTATGATGCTACAAATTTATTTGTATTGTGTAATGGAAATGTTGAAAATGTTTTTCATCCATATGTACCTTGGTTCTTATTCCAGATTATCAACTCTTTCAGACAAGACCTCTCTCATGTTTTAATTTTCTTACAGCATAGATTCAAACCCCAAATAAATTTTAATGTCACTGAAACCAGTAATATATTCCCTCTGCCCACTCTTTTTCTCCATGTAATCCTTCCATGCAGCTCCATGTAGCAGTATAAATATATTTCAGTAATAGTGTCTTTATCTTGGACTCTGCATTTATTTTACTTCTTTGTAATTACAAAATGGAGTTATTCCGTTCTAAGATTCAGTAATTTGACAACAATCAGGTGGTGTTGCCCGTTGTGACTTTCTACTTTAATGAAAAAGATGTGCATCATATCTGGTCTTAAATAATCATGTGAACTGACAATTCATGCTTATGAAGTACTTTTGGGTGATAATTTGAATATTGCTGTTGATTCAGTTATATCAAACGTACTATATAGAATAAAAGAATATCATTTAGTTCAATCTCCAATTAACTTTTAATTTTGAAATGGTTTACAACTTACATAAATGTTGCAGAAATATTACACAGATTTCCCACATTTCCTTTACCCAGATTCTTCAATCCTTAACATTTCTGCACGATTTAATAAAAGTGATGCCCCCAAACTATAACCTTAACACTTAAGTTATATTTCCTAATTACAAGGACCTTCTCTCCTTCTGCAGTACAGCCATCAAAATCAGGAAGTTAACATTGATCCAATATTACCATGTAATCCATGGACTCCATTCAGATTTCCCAGTTTTTCCCAGTGATTTATACTTTAGGTCCAAGATCCAATCCAAAATCAAGTTTTGCCATTACGTTCTTCAGTTTTCTTCAGTCTGTAGCAGTTTTTCAAGGAACAGTTCTTCAATCTTCCCTAGTCTTTCATGACCTTGACATTTTTGAAGAATAGAGGCCGGTTGCTTGGTAGAATGTCTTCCAATTTGGGTTTACCTGATTTTCCTCATGATGTTTGCATCTTTGGGAAGAACACCATAGAAGTGAAACTATACTCTTCTCAGTGAATCCTCTCAGGAGTCACATGAAGTCAATTTGTTCCATTACTGGTAATGTTGACTTTTATCACTTTGTTAAGATTGTCTGCCAGGTTTCTCTACTACAGTAAAACCTGCAAAAGTTGGAACCTGTGTAAGGCAGAAACCTGTCAGAGAAGGAAATCTCAAATATTTTCCACTAAAACGAGCGATAGAAAAGTGATAAGACTGCACCCTGTCAAAGGCGGAAAACTTGCGAGACCCAGAAAAACAAGGCAGGTTTCACTGTATACCAAACCCATTGCCAATGAGTCAATTCCAACTCAGAAATACCGACCCTATAGGACAGAGTAGAACTGCACATAGGGTTTCCAAGGAGCAGCTGGTAGATTCCCACTGCAGACCTTTTGGTTAGCAGCCAAGCTCTTAACCCACTGTACCACCAGGGCTCCTTCACTGTGTAAGATTAATAAATATGTTGTACTTATTAATTGATAAGCAGTTAATATTTTGTGGGGAGTTACTTTGAAACTAAATATCCTGTGCCTCGTCAAACTTTCTTCTACCAGATTTAGGATCCATTGATGATTCTTGTCTGAATCAGTAATTACTATGATGGATGCCAAATGGTGATTTTCGAATTTCATCACTCATTCTAGATTTATTAGTTGAAATTCAGCTGTAACAAAGAGCCTCCCCTTTTCCTCCATATATTTTTTTAAATTTTTTTATTGTTGTAGTTTAAATGAAGTTTACATTTCAAGTTAGTCTACCATACAAAAATTTATACATACATTGTTACATGACCCTAATTGCTCTCCCCATACTGCGACAGCACACTCCTTTCCACCCCTGATTCCCCATGTCCATTCAACCAACTCCTAACCTTCTCTGCCTTCCCATCTCACCTCCAGACAGAAGCTGCCTGTTTAGTCTCTTGTATCTACTTGAGCTAAGAGACACACTCCTCACGAGTATCACTTCCATATATTTTTACTTATTCATTTATTTATATCAGTATATACTCATGGACTCCTATTTTTGTAAAGGGTTACAATTTATTGCTTTTTTTTAAAATTCTGATCCCAAATTTTCCCAGAGTTGGAAGGCATTATGCTAAGTGAATTTAGTCACAAAAGGACAAATATTGTATAAGACCACTATTATGAGAACTCAAGAAAAGGTTTAAACACAGAAGAAAACACTCTTTGATGGTTATGAGGGTGAGGAGGGAGGGAGAGGGTTATTCACTAACTAGATAGTAGACAAGAATTATCTTAGGTGAAGGGAAGGACAGCACACACTACAGGGGAAGTCAGCACAACTGGACTAAACCAAAGCTAAGAAGTTTCCTGAATACAGCCAAACACTCCAAGGGACAGAGTAGCAGGGGCAGGGGTCTGGGGACCAGGCTTTCAGGGGACATTTAGGTCAATTGACATAGCAAAGTTAGTTAAGAAAATGTTCTGCGTCCTACTTTGGTGAGTGGTGTCTGGGGACTTAAAAGCTAGCGAGCAGCCATCTAAGATGCATCAGTTGGTCCCAGCCCACCTGGAGTAAAGGAGAATGAAGTATACCAAAATCACAAGGAAAGTATTAGTCCAAGAGACAGAAACGGCCACATAAACAAGAGACTTCATCAGCCTGAGACCAGAAGAACAAGATGATGCCCGACTACCACCAATGACTGCCCTGACGGGGAACACAACAGAGAGTCCCTGATGGAGCATGAGAAAAGTGGGGTGCAGAACTCAAATTCTAGTAAAAAGACCAGACTTAATGGTCTGACTGAGACTGGGGGAACCCGAGAAAGCATGGCCCCTGGACTCTCTGTCAACCCAGAACTGAAACCATTCCTCAGGCCAACTCTTCAGACAAAGATTAGACTGGACTATGGGACATAAAATGATACTCGTGAAGAGTGTGCTTCTTAGCTCAAGTAGATACATGAGACTAAATGGGCAGGTCCTGTCCGGAGGTGAGATGAGAAGGCAGAGAGTGTCAGGAGCTGGTTGAATGGACACGGGAAATCAAGGGTGGAAAGGAGGAATGTGCTGTCACGATATGGGGAGAGCAATTAGAGTCACATAACAATGTATGTATAAATTTTTGTTTAAGAGACTAACATGAATTGTAA